AAAGCTGCATCGGTCAGTACCATTGGATTAGATGAGTTGATCGTGGTGAGCCAACGGCTTTTTGATAGTCATTTTCCTTTTCCATTCCGAGACAGCATCGGACTCTGATTTTCCAATCCTCCCCCTTTAAACGTATTAAGCGCGTTTGTTTGGTTATATTACTCCCCGCATCCCCCTCAGGCTGGCTGCATTTTGCATTGCACTGAGTGGTTTCTTTGCAGAGGGGGAAACCTAGCTGATAGGGCTTTAAAGGAAAAGAAGAATACAAATTAACCTTCCATTACTGCTGCAGTCAACCATGACAGAATGGGCCAGTTGCGTGTATGATGACGTCTCTGAGTCCTATAGGTGCAAGGGTTGGTGAGATAGAAGCTATCGCCTTGAACTCTCTTTATTTTATTGGAGTATGGCTGGTAATAAACAGTAATATTTAATTTGTCTGAGACCACAAATCGGCTTCTAGCTGGAAGGCTCCTTCGTCTTGCTATATACAGTCGTATAGCGTCCGGACTTGAGGTCCTTTTCTTAGATTGTTATTTTTTTTCCAACCCGCAGAAGGAAATAAACTCGAATTATTTGCGTCGTTTTCAACTTTCCTTCAAAGTCCTTGAAAAAGCTGAGAGGTGAGTGTTTCCATTGCAATACTAGAGCCGAGAGGCAGATGCGTTGCCTAATGTTTGACTGTAATGTCCCTCGTTGTGGGTTGCCCCTTAGAATAGATCATTTCTCCCTTTGAGTTTCTTTTCATTCATGCTATTTTTCTGTGGACTGGAAAACAGTCATTCTATGGATGCAACTTTCTATCTTCATTTTTTAAATCTCAGATTTTACTAGCAGTATCCCATTTCTGATCCTCACTGTTCTGAGAACCTGCGCAATTCTGGGGTTTTAGAAACAAGCTAATAGTTACAAAATAGACAGGAGACCTGACCCAATGCCTCCAAGTTACTTACCTGGAAACTTTCATTCAGAAGGCACTTGGGAACTGCAGAAAGGCAGAAATGTCATTCTCTTTACTTAACAACAACATGGATTTGAGCTAATGAATTTTACAAGATAAATATCAGGCATGTTCATGCTAAGGCCAAAGAAGAAGTTTGATTTATTATGGCATTTACAATATTCGTGGAAAAAAACACTTCTTTTGCATTGCTCGGCATAGAATTTTCCTTTTAAAATAATAAGAAAATAATACGTTATAATGCCAATCTTTAATTGGTTTGGTTATAACTGTAACTATGCACAGTTTAAAAAGAAGTTAGTACTTTGCTGATTTTTTCCAGTTGAAATTAAACTGAAGGACCCATGAAGAGTTTTAAGCAGATGCCAAACTCTGCACACACACCCGCCCACACACGCGCGCAAGAACACACACACAAACATTTTGCACAACGTTTTTTCTTATCTTTACTTCACTTCAAACTTTCATAGGAATCCAGAATTAGCACTTAGAAAGAAAGAAAGAAAGAAAGAAAGAAAGAAAGAAAGAAAGAAAGAAAGAAAGAAAGAAAGAAAGAAAGAAAGAAAGAAAGAAAGAAAGAAAGAAAGAAAGAAAGAAAGAAAGAAAGAAAGAAAGAAAGAAAGAAAGAAAGAAAGAAAGAAAGAAAGAAAGAAAGAAAGAAAGAAAGAAAGAAAGAAAGAAAGAAAGAAAGAAAGAAAGAAAGAAAGAAAGAAAGAAAAGGTGGGCAGAGCAGATCTGAATGATGCCATTTATTCCAACTCTTATAAAAAATACAGCCCCCCAACCTGGTTCTCTTCAGGCTGCAGAATGCGACAGGGGTGGCTGTTTACCCTGCGCTGACCTATTCAACTTTACCCTCAAAATAATACATTAAAACAAGAGAGCGAGAGAGAAGGAAGATGCAGATGAAAACACATCCCGCTTCCCAACTGACGGCTTGATTATTTTAATACAGCCGAGCCTCTGAGCTTTTGTATATATTTGCATCTAGCAGTGGAAAGGTTGGAAAATTCCTGCTTGCTTGGCAAAGGTGGTGGGTGGGGTAGGGAGGAATCTATGTTCTAAAGAGAGCTTTGATCTTTCTGCAGATACAATACGAACTGCGAGGCACCCCCTTCCCTTTGTGTTCACCCCCTTTGGATTTAAGGGGGTTGAGTAACGAGGTGCCTCGCTTCATTCTTTGCTCGGGGCAGCCCTTTTATCCAGTCTGGCGTGGGACAAGGAGACCCCTTTTCGTATGTCAAAGGCCCCCAAGAGAACTAGAAAATATTTTTCGTGAGCTAGTTTAAAATATGTACCTATCTATTCTGCGGTGTTCGGGGGCGGGCGTCCGGGGGCGGGAGGTGGGATGGTTTGCATTAGGTTTCTTTGGGGGATTCTCGAGCTTTGAATTTGGTCTCCGGTTGGGAAGAGATGGATGGAAGAGGGAGGGAGTGGGGAAGCAGGCGCGCGGAGGGGGGATGTTACTAGTGAGTTTCATGGGTGTCTTTCTGCCTTGTTCTTGTTTGCCTGTCAGAAAAATAAGCTGGGGAGGCGGGGGGAGGTCTGAGAGAGAAAGAGACTCTTGAAGCACGATCAGAGCTGGTTGGACAGACGATCTCAGCCCTTCGCGAGCAGAGCTAAGCCTACCCGACGGCACCGCCCTCAGCTCGGCATCTATTTCCTATGTGCGACTCGCTCTGCTCTCCAGAGAGAGGGGAACTAGCCAAGATCACAAACCTGCTTGGGGAGGCTCCGTTTGCTGCACAGCGACCGCCCTCTCTCAACTTTGCCTTGTCCTCCCCCCCCTTTCCACGTCCTTAGGAGGGGGTGGGGTGGGCAGGGGAGACCCCGCATCCTCCCGATCAGGCCGAGAAGGACGGGTTAAGCTCGGTCTCAGGAACCTTTCTGGTGCGGCTGATAACCTGGAAGTGGTTGGCGAGAGAGGGCCAGAGGCCGTGTGGCATTGGAGAGCATTTTTTCCCCCTCCAGGCTGTGTTTTTTTTTTTTAATAATGCGGGTCGGAACATAAATAAATCCAAGGACATGCAAACCAGAAGCCTGCCGCCCCTGTAATTTCCATTGCAAAGGGGGGAAATAAAGGAGATGCTTTGATTGCATGGAGTTCAACAAGCAAGGTAACGGTTCTTCCACTGCCCTGTATGTCCGTCACTGTCTCTCTCTCTCTCTCTGTGTGTGTGTGTGTGTATGTGTGTGTGGAGGGGGAGGGGAGGCAACCAGAGCGAATACATGAGGGAAGGAAAGGAAGAGTTGATTGCTAACCCTCGCTAGCAGCGCGAGATGCATTTTTCATAGAGCGATCGAGGCCTGGTTCTGTCAAGCCCCATTTCCTCTCTGGAGCTCTTAGCTGGGGAGGAGGGAGGAGACGGGACTGATCTCAAATTGGACTGAGTCGCTGTAGCTATTCGCCCCCCACCGTTCCCCCGCCGCTTAATTATGTTTAAAACTGCCGACGTGTGGAGCTAAGCGTCTGCTGCAGCCATCTCTGAGCTCTTTGTTTTGATGAACGTGCCTTATATCTAACTTCGCCGGTTGAGGGTAAATAATAGATACACGCGCGCGAGAGAAACCGATTAAAAATGCATAAGGGAGGGTGTCTAGAGCTCGTTTAGAAGCAGAGTAAAAACATCGCCCGAAAAAGGAGCCTTAAATGGTCCCTGTCTCTGGTGTGGCTAGAACAACCTAATTGCCATTAGCGTTCATGGTTTTTGAATGGGCCAGCGAGACACCAAATCCAGCAGTCATGGCTCATCCTTCCTACCCACCACACGCTTTTCTCACACACCTTCGCTGCAAGGAGACCTGTTTTCCCCCCCTCCTTCCTCCCACTTCGCCCTTCAGCCACTTATTACAAACCATCTGCCTTTCGTGTTATGGGAAAAGAGTATTTGAAAGGGGGGAGGGAAGAAGGGAGGAAGCGAGATCGTTTTATAAGATGATCTTTGGAAGAAGAAATGGCATGTGTTCCCCATTTACTTTTTAAAAATGCATCCTTTCGCCCACAAGTGCCAATGCAAACACACCACATTGTGCTTCTCTGCTTAAAGGAGATTGTAAATATACATTAATATTTAAAGAGAGTACTTTAACTACTGTTGGCGAAGCAAAGACCTCATTGAGACGCAATTATTGTATTATGTTTAAAGCACCAGTGCTCTGAATCCTTTTTTTTAAAAAAGAAAACAAGCAATTGAGTTGCTTTTATCCCTCATTTTTGCCTAAAGGATAATTTTAAAATATCTTTGAAATTCAGTTTTTACTGTTAGTATCCGATTGAATTAAATATAGATCCCCAGATTTTGCATTTCTGCTATAATATTGTAGAGAGATCAATTTAGAGACAAGTATAACAGACACATTTAATACATGAAATTATACAATAGCTTGATTTTATTTATGTATTCTTCGTTTCCACTCTAATGGCACTATTTCATATGCTATAATTGCTATGAAAGGCAACTTCACACGTTACTTGCACTTAGATGGGAAAGTCACTTTCATGTGAGAATGCTGATTGCTTCGTGTTTTCCCTTTGCAAGGGAACTTCAATTTTCTTTACAAATGTGGTTGTATAATTTGCTTCACGTGTCTAGGAGGTAGCCCTTTGAAGGAACTTGGTTCTCTCAAGGAATCATATTAAAGCAATATCAGCTGTAAATATCTCCCTAAATGTGGCGCTATTACTAGTTCACCAGTCAGGCTTGTATATTTTCTTTACAAAGTGAAATTTGTGATGAGCTATTAATTCCATTTATTTGTGCCCCCCCCCCCCCCAATCCCGTTTCTTATCTTTATTGGTCTTTTCAGATGTAGTTTGCCAACACCTTACTGTGAGGGTAGCTAACCTATTGGTAGCGCGCGCGCGCGCGTGTGTATGAGAGAAGTATGATGATGATGATACATAAAAAATCTCTCTGTGTGTATGTTCATGGTGTTTGATAAAAAATTTAATTTCCTCTGTGGGCTGGAATAACAAGTGGAGCCGTCTATAATTTGCCCTCTCCAGATAAAAGATCCAATATTTTCCTCTCCAAGCAGACGAAGAAGAGTTGCTGCCAGAGGGCGTGTTGGGGAAGAAGGTTGTCTATATCTGTAGCTCTCTCTATACATTTGCTGAAATGCCAGCTTTGACTTATGTCTCTCTTATCTCCTCTCTCTGCTGTGTGCCTGCAGTGGGAGATTCAGCGAAGGAAGCTTGTAATATGGCGGATGCTGAAGAAGGCTTTGGGCTCGCTCATACGCCAGCTGATGCAGAGTCTAAAGAGCTCCAAGCGGAAACCAAACAAGATAGCCAGCTAGGGGCCAGCAGCAAATCGCCTTCCTCGCCGCAGGCAGCCTTTACCCAGCAGGTAAGCAGCGGAGGAGAAGCTTGAAGAGAAACATTCGCGGCTCGCCTTCTCTTGTAGCTGTTAGTGTTGGTCGGTTTGTTTCTGAGATTTGTCCGGTTTTACTGTGCTGTAGCGGTGGCTAATGTCAGAATATGCCCGCTGCAACAACAATTAGGTATGCTAATAACACGCACATACTCATCTCTGCACAAACGGGCACAAAACTCACGCAAATGTACACACAGTGACAAACACACTCTCAACACACATATCCACGCCGCACACAATAATACCATTTGCACACCCACTGACCCGGGCGTACATGCAACACATACATGGCTAATGTCAGAATATGCCCGCTGCAACAACAATTAGGTATGCTAATAACACGCACATACTCATCTCTGCACAAACGGGCACAAAACTCACGCAAATGTACACACAGTGACAAACACACTCTCAACACACATATCCACGCCGCACACAATAATACCATTTGCACACCCACTGACCCGGGCGTACATGCAACACATACACACAAAGCACTCACCTACCCCCCCCCCCCCCCTCCCCCCCCCCCCCCACACACACACACACGTGCGTATCTTTTGCTTGCCGCCCCTAACTCCTCCGTGGCTCTATTCCTTAAGTTGAAGGGTTTGTTGGAAAACTGTAGCAGGAAAGGGGGTCTCCCGGTGCGTGTTCCTTTTGAGACGCGCCGGCGGGCCGATGCTGTGAAGTTGTGAGGTTTGAACCGAACCAGTTCGGAAGGAAGTAGGCCAGGATGCCGGCGGTAGAGTTAGCGGGCTGTTCTGGCCTTTTAAACTATCGCCTACAACCAAAGCCTTGGCTCTTGTGGACTAGAACAAACCATTGCTCGCCTGGAAACAGGGACACACAGCGCAGCCCGTTCTATGCAGGGCAAAATGTTTTGAAGGCTGAAATTAAAGAGAGTCTCTCTCTTCTTCCCTTAAATGAAAACAGAGCGCAAAACGGTTGGCAGGGTAGCTTCGCGAAAGAGAACCTTGAGCACAGTTTAATATAGCTCGGTGATTCCTCCCAGGTAAATCTGCACACGGAAAATTAGTAGGGTGTGAGATGAAACACAGAGGGGAGAGAGAATCTCCAGTGTATATGTCTATCCTTATTCAGAGAGAGAGAGTGTATGTGTCTGAGTGTAAATCATATAGGAAGAAGTGAATTAAAAAAAACCGGAACGCCCTGAGAGATATACTTTCTTTTGTCGTACATTACATAGATTTTAATTCTGTAAAGGGAAAATAGATGTCTAGGCCCGATCCTTTTTTCCTGGTGTAGTTTTTTTGGGATGCTCCAAGACTGCAGACTCGGGGTCCTCTATTGCCAGTACTGTATTGTAGCATTTCCATTCCTCGCTCTGTACGTATAGAGCTACATGCTGGGCTGGTGCTAAGGACTGTCTGTGCTGGAGCTATGGCCCATTTATACTAGTATAGGAGCTGAGCAATTGGAATGTGCAAGGGGCTGCTGCTGGCTTTGCAGATGGTATTTTATTCTCTTTGTTGTTTGTTTGTTTGGATCGCCTCTGCCCACGATCATTTTCCTTCTAATAAACTCGCGTATTGTCTTGCCCTAATAGAACAATCTGTTTTGATTCTCTCGGCCCCGTGCCTATCTCTATTGACAGGGAGCAAAAGGCTACAAACTTCTCCGAACTCGGGTGCTGTGCAAAAATCCTGCTCCCCGCCGCATTGCTTCACAACAGCTTTGAGTCCCCGCCACCCCCTCCAGAGATTTCCCTTCCATGAATCACTCCTTTGCGCTGTTCTGGGAGTTACAGTCTTTTAATGTCACGTCAGTTAGGACTGTATAGAAAGCAGAAGCGCTCGATGTTGACATGCCAAAGTTCAACCTCTCTTCTGGGTCTACTCTCCTGTTCTACCATCTCTCTTTGAAAGCTTGCAGCTCGCCCGCTCCTTTGTTCACTCATTAACTTATTTATTTGCAGGGTATGGAGGGGATAAAAGTATTTTTACACGAACGAGAACTGTGGCTAAAATTTCACGAAGTGGGGACAGAAATGATTATAACAAAAGCTGGGAGGTAAGGTTATAAAAGATCGCATGCTTCTATTTTTAAAAAGAAATATATATTATATTGTATTATGTTATATACACGGGTTCTTATTATGTACATACATATATACAAATATGTTTATGTAGAAGTATATACTTTCGTGTGTATACAGAGTATGAAAAAAACTTGTTATGACCATCCTTCATAGAGACATAATACACACAAATGTTTACATATATTTGTCTATTTGTGTGTGTTATGTCTGACACATTCGTGTCACGTGAGATTCAAAAACTCATTTTAAATCACTATAAAATCTGAATAATAATGTGTTATCAAGACCTTTTCACAAAATAGAATTAAAATAAATAGAAAGATATAAAAATATGATGATTGCCTATTTAAAGCTACAGACATTTTGATGACATTTTGGATGAGTAGCTGAAGGATTCTGGGTAGATTAGCGACAAAGTTTGCTTGGAATATTTTCAGAGAGAGGCCTCCAATATAGTATGTGCTACAAAGATTTGTTTCTTCTGGCTTCTTATTTAACCAGGATAGGGTTATTCTTAATCCATTTCATTGGAGGAATTCCAAACTCAGTCTAGTTGTAACTGTTTGGCCAAACCGTACATTGTGTCAGGCAAAACAACTCGGTGGGCGTTTTAATTTTTTAAAAAATACAAGGAGTACTTAAATATTTTGTATTTAAGTATTTTTCTCCATTTCCTGACATTTATTTTGTGTTTAGCTCTAGGCAAATACATACAGACAGACACATTTCCTAGTCATTCTGTTAGAACCTATATATATGATCGTGAGCTATTTATTGTATCTGTACTGTGACATAAGGTTTGGAAATCTCCGTATACAGTGTGTGTGTGTGTGTCTGTGACAGAGAGAGAGAGAGAGAGAGAGAGAGAGAGAGATCACGTCCATGATCATGGCCTGGTGAATCTAATCACTTAAAAAAACCAACTTCTGTTATGTGCATTTGGTGTAATTTAACATTTCTCTTGATATTAATGCGTTGTGGGCACCACAAAGCCCCCTTTGCTGAAGGAGCACTGAAACCAAAGTTAAACAGAAGAGGAACTGATGATCAATTGAGATTCAGTATTTCCTAGCGCCATGCAAATTCCCATCATTTAGCTCGGGGAAATCGAAATGTATTGTTGTCTTCATGATATTACATTTAACAATGTAATCCTAGAGAGGGGTTCGTTAGATATGGGAAAAACGTCACCAGATGCGAAAATAGAAATAACTCAAAACTATTCCTATATTGCAGACAATCCAGAGTCAAATCTGCATTCTGTTTTGTTATATAGTACGGCCTCCCCAACTGTACTTCAGAGAGACAAAGTTTTGCAGTGGATAACAAACAGATCCGCATTACGGGTCGGTTTCCCGTTGAACATATGCCACAAATAAAGTGACATGGTATAAACAATGAGACTGAGCTTTTTAGAACCAGTAGGAAGTACGGTTTGCATAGAACAAAGTTTACAAAAT